GAAGGGGACGCCCTGGGCCCCGAGCCGGGGGGCAGCCCCCAGGAGGAGCTGGACTTCTCCATCCTCTTCAACTATGACTATCTGAACCCCCTCGAAGGTCGGTGGAGGCTCCCCCCGGGCCTGGCCCCCCAGTGGGGGCTTGGCCTGGGGCAAGGGCCAGGGCCCCTCTGCTCCAGATGTCACTCTTCTGGGGGCTCGGTGCGGGGTGCCTCTCCCCCAGGAGGGGAGAGGGAGGGCACCAGGCCAGGGACTGCTGCCACCCTGAGGGGGCGGTCGGCTCACTTTGCCCCATAGGGTGTCAGTTTCCAATTCCCCTGGCCGCCCTGTGGGAGGGGCGGCAGAAGGTGGTGGCAGGGGGCGCAGCTGGCCTCTCGCCCGCTGCGGGGTAGTCCAGCCATTGGTTTGCCTTTGGAGGGAGGAGGGGAGGGAGCAGAGAATGGAGGCAGTGGGAGGGGGCGGGTGCCCAAGGAGGTGGCCGCTGAACCTCAGGATCAGGCAGGTGAAAGCGGATCGCCTCCCCTGCAGGCCACCCGAGGCGGAGAAGGCTTGTCGGGGACTTGGTGTTGAAACTAAGGAAGAGGCTGTCTGTGTCTACTGCTCGAGTGTGGTTTGACTTCGCCGTCAGCAGGCCGGCCCATTTCCTCCCTGGGTGGTGCTGCTGCCTTTGCCAGTCACCCCAGGGATCAGTGGGCGCTTGTTCAAGCCATCAGCACCCCACAGTCACAATGGATGTGGGGGCTGGGAGGGGGCGGGGGTGGGGCAGCACCTGTCAGTCTGCCTCCAAGTGCCTCTGCCCCTGGGGCTGGGCGGCCCTGGGTGGGCTGTCACTTCACATGCTTAACAGGAGCCTTCCTCAGGAGGAGGAGGAGGCCGCACACCCAACCTCACTGTATTTTTCTGGTTAGCAGGTTGTCTTGGAAAAAAACAAAAAATCTAACCAGGCTTCCTGATTTTGACAGCCCAGCCCAGCCAATACTTGTTGAAGCCTTAGGGGCAGGCTTGCTGGTGACTTGCAGATGCGGGGGTGGTGGTGGTGGGGTTGCTGTTTGCAGAGTCAGGCAGGGTTGTGCTGGCTGGTTTGTGTAGGCGGCCTTTTCAAGAACCTGGACTGTGGGGGTGGGGGGTGGAGGGTGGGACTTGCTCCCCCGACCCGCCCGACCCCCCTGCCCCCAGATGCTTGTTAGGCAGGTGAATGAGAAGTTTTCCCTTCCCTTCCATGTCTCTTCACTGGCCACCTTAGGTGAGGGGCTTGCTTCAACCCCAGGGGTCCCCAAGTAAAGATGGTAATTAGTAATTATCCTGTATTTTGGCTGGAGATGGAAATAATTAGCCGGCAAGAGAGACCAGTCTTCTTGAGTTGCAATCTGGAGCCCATCCTTTGCTTTGAAAAGATACGATTAAGAATCTGCAAATGATCCCTCTAGCAGCAGTGGTCTTTCTGTTCGTTAAGATTAAAGTCATGTTTTGCAGGGAACTAATACACCCCTCCCAGATTCACAATCAGCTAACTTTTTTTTTTTTTTTGGCAGGGGGGTGATTTCCGGGGAAATAGTTTCCAAGCCAAATCTAATGGGAGGTGCCTTTTATAGTTTTTCTTGGCAGTGGGACTTGGTGGCCGCCAGATGGGTGTCCAAATGACCACAGTGAAGCCCCGAAATCTGTGTTTTTTTAAAAAATAAAATTTATTTTTTTGGGAACAGTTTTATTTTTACAGAAAAATTGTAAAGATGAGACAGAGTTCCCATATACCCAGCATGCAGTTTCCCATAGTATTAATATTTTACATTAGTATGTATGAGTATTGTTATCATGAACGAACCAGTGATGGTAAATATTATGACCTAAAGTCCACCTCTATTCAGGTTAGACTGCCCCTGTCTCTCAGAGCTGGACAATTTTGAGGAGCACTGATTAGGTGTTTTGCTGAATGTCCCACAATTAGGGTCTTTCTCATTCATGTTCTTCTCATGGTTAGGCAGGGGCTATGAGTTTTGGGGAGGAAGACCAGAGAGGGAGTGGCCATTTCTGTCACGTCCTCACTAGGCACTAGGTAGCAACACGATTTATCGCCGTGCCAGCTGACCTCGGTCACCCGGCCGAGGTAGCATCTCTCTGGGTTCTCCACGGTCAAGTTACTCTTTTCCAACATGTGCTCTTTGGAAAGAAGTTACTGTGTGCCACCGACTTAAAGGATGAGGGGTTGTGCTCTGGAGTCTACACCTTGCCGGGAAGTAGGCAGCACAGAGACGTCCTGGCTAGAAGGGAACCCGGAGAGGCTGACTGAGCTGATCCAGATGTGGGCCAGGCTCTGGCTCACCCAGATGTGAACAGGGGTCCCCTCTCCCTGCTTCAGCACGGTGGCCCTCCCCGCGGGCCAACACTGGCCCCTCTCTTGCTATTGAGCTTTGTCCCGGGTGGCAGGATAATGGGGATTCATGTGAGGTGTTATCCTTCACTCTGGGCGTGAGCTTGGCAAGAACCAAGGAAGGAGAAGGACTGCGGGTGGGACAGACATCAGAAATAGGGGACGGTACTAGGGAATTTGGGGGACGTTGGGCTCATTTTATGGAAGCTTAGCATGTAGCTGCTGTTTATTAGCTCCTGTAGTAACTCCTCTACCCCGGCAGGTGGGCACGATTGGCACCCTCATTTACAGAGGAGGACGCTAAGGCACAGAGGCGGGAAGGAATCTTCTCAGCACGTCAGGTGAACAGCAGAACTGAAATATGAACCTGGCGTCCTGCTCCAGAGCCAACATTCTGGAGGGGCCTTGTTCCCTCACTGGATGGGACACACATGTCACAGTTTGGAAGGTGCCCCGCACCATGGCAAGGCTGGAATGCAAGACGTTTGCCGACAGCGGTCTTGGGCAAGTCATTTACCGTCTCTGGACCTCTGCCCATCAGTCAAATGGCTGAAGTCGTAATACTTACCTCATAAGGTGGTTTGTCCACTTAAAACAATCAGCAGTGTGATTGGCTACTAGCATTGTGTTAAACCCTTGGTTTTGTTAATACAGTTGCTCAGTGAATGTGAGCCAGTGTTCATTTGCTCATCCAACTGACTACTGAGCGACACCCTGGGGATATAATAGGAATAAGACCTGGCCCCTGCCCTCCCTGAGCTACGGCCTCTGATTGGTTTCTCTTGTCCAAGGGCATTGTCTGATATCTCCAGCAGCAAGCTCAGAGTCAGAGAAATGCTGGGCACCGTCCTTGCTTCCAACCCCAGCAGGGGTGTCTCTAGCGTTGGCTTCAGGACTGAGGTGTAGCCATTTAACTATGTCAAGGAAGTATCCATCCATTCCTATTTTCTTGAGAGTTGTGTTTAGGAATGGGAGTTGAATTACATCATAAACTTTTTAAAAAATATATATTTTATTGATTTTTTTACAGAGAGGAAGGGAAAGGAATAGAGAGTTAGGAACATCGATGAGAGAGAAACATCAATCATGCCTACTGCACACCCCCTACTGGGGATGTGCCCGCAACCAAGGTACATGACCTTGACCAGAATCGAACCCGGGACCTTTCAATGCTCTGTCCACTGAGCCAAACCGGTTAGGGAGAAACATTGATCAGCTACTTCCTGCACACCCCTACTGAGGGTGTGCCCACAACCGAGTTACAGGCCTTTGACTGGAATCGAACCCGGGACTCTTCAGTCTGCAGGCTGACGCTCTATCCACTAAGCCAAACCGGTTAGGGCACGTCATAAACTTTTTAGCATCTATAGAAAAATACGATTTTATTCTTCTTAGATCTATCAATATGTTGACGTATATGGAAATATTCACTTGGTTACTATGTATCACTTTCTTATAGTGGTGGGACCTGCATTGGTTTGACAACATTTAAGACTTCTTTCAGCAGTGTTCATGAGCCATACTTGTCTGTAATGTCCTTTTCTTTGTGTGCTATTAGGTATAAGCATCTTTTGGTTTCTGTGCTCAGTAACAATGTACTGTTGGGACTACTCAGTTTCTAACGTTGTGATAGAATTCCCCTGGGAAGCCATCTGGACCTAGTGTCTTTTTATGGGGTGATTCCATGACCACTTTCTCTCTTGTCTCTGTGGGAAGTTGTCCGTCTACACCAGTGGTTCTCAACCTTCCTAATGCCATGACCCTTTAATACAGTTCCTCATGTTGTGGTGACCCCCAAACATAAAATTATTTTCGTTGCTACTTCATAACTGTAATTTTGCTACTGTTATGAATCGTAATGTAAATACCTGATATGCAGGATGTACTTAGGCGACCCCTGTGAAAGGGTCGTTCGACCCCCAAAGGGGTCGTGACCCACAGGTTGAGAACCGCTGGTCTACACTGTCTATTTCTACTGGAGTCAGTTTTGGTAAACTGCATCTTTCAAAGGAATGATCCTTTTCATCTATCTAGATTTTCAAGTTTATTTGCCTGGAGCAGTGATGGCGAACCTTTTGAGCTCGGCGTGTCAGCATTTTGAAAAACCCTAACTTAACTCTGGTGCCGTGTCACATATAGAAATTTTTTGATATTTGCAACCATAGTAAAACAAAGACTTATATTTTTGATATTTATTTTATATGTTTAAATGCCATTTAACAAAGAAAAATCAACCAAAAAAATGAGTTTGTGTGTCACCTCTGACACGCGTGTCATAGGTTCGTCATCACTGGCCTAGAGACTTGCCAACTAGATTCTTATTTTTTTCTACTGAGGGAGATAGCGAAGTTCATTGTAACATATTGAATGGGGACAGGGTTGTGGGAGCCCTGACCAGAGCTCCTGACCCAGCCTTAGAAGGGAGAGGTGTGTTTGGCTGTCAGATAGAGCAGAAGTTTGATTCCTTGTGTGTGCTTATGAGTTCAGTGAATTCTTACTTCTCCCACCATAACACATCGGGAGAGACGGGTGGGTGCTGGGAATCCCTAGGCTCCTCCAGAGGGCCCAGCCCTCCTCTGGGACTGACATGTTGGGAGTGCTCATTGCTGGTCTGCCTCGGTGCACCCGGCATATCCCGGCTTCGATTCCTGCTAAGCGAATGCATGTGTCTCCGACTTTGCCCTTTTGGAAAGGACAACAGACTCCTGGTCATTGCTCGTAAAGTCTATTCT